AGGTAAACGTGCTTCTCAGCTGAACTGTGAATATCACAATAAATCAGCTGTATTCAGCAGAACATCCAACGACAAAACAGTGCAGTGATCTCTGCTATAACGCAAGTTTCCAAAGCATGAATAAACTCAAACGCAATTGGTTAATAGGGGAAAAATGTCTGTATAACGCAAAACTCACGTTGGTTTATACGCAATTTCATCCCCGACATGTTTACGTTTTCCATCTACGTAGAATGTGTCTACCAAGCGTGTTGGTCATAAAATTTCAGGTGGTGAACTTAACTTTTTTTCAATGTAAAGTCCTAAATTAACTGTAGTTTTTCTTTATAATGATCAATGTGCTAACATTTTTATTAGGATAATTATTCAATTTGGTAAAGCTTTGGTTACACATTTAGTTAGGTTTTTAGTTGTCTGCCCCAACCCTATTTTTCCCATAAGCCCTGTTATTTCTATTGAGCAACTTTGCATAACACGAGGTTTTACAGTAACGCATCAATCACGTTATAGCAGAGACGCCTGCATTTTCCTTTTACTGTAAATGTCTTATTAGGGGATTTTGAAAGGTCTCCAAAACTTATTGGATTTGCATGAGGAAACAGTTTGGGGGGTGCCACATAACCACTGGTCGGGATCCTTCAGTTATTTCCTCCGATCCAGTGTGGGAGAAGTGTTTCTTCCTAATGAGTTAATATTTAAACTCCAGCTTCTACTAAGACACCAACAATAAAATGTGTCTCTGCTTTTGGAGTCCCTAGCTTGCTTTTAAACTCTTAAAACTTCTTTGTTCCATTTTAAGCTTTACCAGCAAGGCAGAAGCTTTAGTGATTCAGGTCCTCCAAACAAAAAGACAAAAACTTGTGCTCGCCACACCCTTTTATACCTTGAGAGGCAAACTACATCTTTCAGAGATCCAGCTAATAATCTTTCCATCAATTTTCAGAGTTGCAGGGGAGCCAGACTATATCCCAGCGGGCAACAGATGCAAAACAGGATACACCCTGAATGCGACCCTAGTACGTTGCAGGGCAGACACACAGACACACAAACACCAGGGACACACACTCACACCAGGGATGGTTTTCCCTGAAGCCAACTAAACTACCAGTATTACTTGTAGGAAACCAGAGCACCTGGAGGAAACCTATGAGAACATGGAGAGAACATACTGTACCCCATGTAGCTGTGAGGCAGAATTTGAGCTAACCAGTGTTTTCTTTCTAGATGAAAATATCTCCTACGTTTCCTAAATTTCATTGGAAAAGGGAAAAGGAAACCACTTTAGCAGGTACGGTTATAAAGGGTACAGCCTTCTGAAAATTCTAGTCCAAAACATATCCCCTCTATATCTCTGCCCCAAATTCTGTGACAGTGTTCATGCATAGACCAGCCTGGCAAAGATAGGGTTCATCAGAAACAATAACAAGGTGATCAAAGCCTGCCATGTGCAACTGTTGATGGAGGTGGTAAAGCAAAGCATGCAAAGCAAAGCATGCTGGGAAGAGTAATGGTTAGGGTTAATGACTTGTATTTATACAGGGGCAGATTGTTCCATCAGTGACATGAGTTAGGGGAAGGAGATGTCTAATTCCATGTTGCTAACAGATGAAGCGGGTGGAGAGATACAATGAAGCAGGGGCACTGAAGCAACACAACCACTGACATGAAATCATTGAGCTAGGCATAGTGGCTGTACTAGTGAAAATCATAAATCTCTGGTCTTTTTTAGAAACCCAGACATGATTTGTCCTGAAACTAAAAAATCGAAATATTATGTTTTTGTTTATTCAGAGGACCAGTAAATAATGCCCCTCCAAAACCAGATGTGAAGGCTTTTGCTGTGATGGCATGCTAAAGGCCAGAATTACAATGACAAATATTCTCATAAAAAAGATTGCTCTAGACCACATTTCGCTATGTGGAGCTTTTTTATCATCGTGTGCTGTACAGGTGTTTTGTGTCTCATCTGTTTTCACTAAAAAAAATGGCTATTTCTATTACAATTATTATAACGCTTATTTTTCTATCAAATAGAGTAATGACTTCCTGGGAATTAAGGGGGCCAGGGAAAATTATGTAAGGAGGACTTAAATTTGGAGCAGGCCCTGCTTTAGAAGAGTATAACACCGTCAGTATTATTAACGAGTATAATAAAAATATGATCCATTAATGCCACACACAAAGACAGCTCTTTCTGAAGCCCTTAATGACCCTTTCATTAACTGTGGAGTATGCCTGCCAATAAAAAAAGTCCTATGTTCAGCTGTGCTGGACATAAGGAAGAATTGTTTTTCTTTTCACCTAAATTCACTTGTAGTCTGCAAGTCTTTGCTGGTCTCAAAGATCCACCAGGGAGCGCTGTAGTGAGCACAGCATTTTAAAGCTTCATGCAATGTAGCTGTACCAAGCTGCAAGACCTGCTAATTTATGAATCATTGAGAATTTGAGATTTATGAAGTACAACCCATTGCTCTGATATGGAAATCATCTACCTATGAGTGTGCTCTGTGGCGGACCGGTGTGCAGTCCTGCCTTGTGACCGACACAGCTGTCCAAGGATGAATCCGAAATTGAAAATGGGTGGAGTAATGTTTCTTAGTTTTGCCAAATATACATTAGTATCTTAAATGCATTTTAAATCTCCAGGTCGCATGGGAAGCTACAGTAGATGTCATTCTCTGCTGGTCTTCTACACGTCTTCTTCACCTCTATCAAAGTGAATGACACGTCCATGCCAAACTCTGACAATCTGTCACAGTTATACCACTGCTCTTTAGATCTCATCCTTCAGGCCAAGGGCCAGGGGGATTCTTAGGTTTCTGCTAGAAAGAACTTGTTTTATATGGGAAAAAGTAAGACAATAATTGCTTCAATCAAAACAGTGGACACAAGTGGAAAATATTTAGAAATGCTTTCAAAACTGAGAAGACGAGACATGTCTTTATCAAAAGGGTATTGGGAGTCTGAAACAACAACCTTCCATGGTGTTGAAACTGAAGCCCTGGCTTCTTGCAAGAAATTGCAAGAATTGGATGACATCTGTGGATCAATTAACTACAACCAAACAGCCTAAGTGGATTGAATGGTTTCTTGTGGCTTTCTTACAGAAAACTAATTTTCCTACTTGCAGGAAACTAATTGGTTCTTGAAAACCAGAAAAGTCGAATATAGGCGTACATATTACAAAAGCACCTATTCAAAATCTCCCAATAAACATACAGGAAAAATACAATACACCTATTATCATCTCCCAAACACCACACAGCCTACACATGTGCAAACTTAGCCACTATGCCAAAAGGTAAGCTCCTTGCTGGATTGTGAATGTTTTTGAAGGTTCTGAGGAGTGACGTTGTGCTAAATGTTGCAGGTCTGAGGTACATGAATATGGTGTATGCTTTCCCTGTGTTTGTGTGGGTTTCCTCCAGGTGCTCCAGTTTCCTCCCACAGTCCAAAACCAGGCTGGTAGGTTAACTGGCTTCTGTAAAATTGGCGCTGGTGTGAGTCTGTGAGTGTATTTTTGTGTGTGCTATGCGATGGACAGGTGTCTCAATCTAGGGTGTATCCTGCCTTGCAAGCAATGCTTCCTGGGATGGGCTCAAGCTACCCCACGACCCTGTACAGGACTAGCTGTTAATGAAAGTGATGATGATGACAACTGGTGCATTTATAGAATTGTGTAAAATGGGACCATGGAGATCATGTTACACACCAGAGGACAGTAATATTACCAGTAGCCAGGCAAATCCAAACCAAAATTTCTTATTTTCTTAATGTAAAAATATACATTTTCATCACAGAATGCAGATTTGCTTGTAGAACCATTCACCCTACATCTCTGTTTTTAAATTGCCTACTGATTATGAAGTCCCTTTAATTTAACATAATTGTCTTGAAAGGGACTCATTCAGGCAATGACTTGATGAGAGCCTTGATTCCACTACTGTAACTACTAGCAATCAAATACACTGGCTGGGTCTAACACCACTTCTTATTAGCCTTTTCTATTTCCACGGGCTAGGGATGGTCAACTTAAAAGACATGGTAAACTTACCTCCCAGTCTTCTGACGCTTTGTGGTTGGATTGATCAAGATACAGTATTTGCAATAACATGCTGCCTGCTTTGTCGTTGCCATTAACAAGTGCCAACTGCCTGAAATGATTAGTCTATAATTTGAACTTGGAGTTCAGAGAGGGGTTGAATGGTATTGAATGGAGATTCAATACCATTGAATGGAGATTCAATACCAGGGGTTGAATGGAGATTGGTTTAACACTAATCCTGAAGAACAATTATTTAAATTTGCATTGATAAGCCCTCATGAACGGATGTTATATAAAAAATGCAACCGCCCCCAAATGTCAAGGTCATTCTCCTCAGGAATCCTTGTTTTGATTGTTTTTCTTCTTGTTAGCTTTAATCAAATTCCATGTTTTTTTAATGAAAATCATGCAAATTTTTCCTATTGATCAAATGGCCTCTTGTGCAGTTTCTTTTACATGAAAATCACCTATCATTAATTAGTTCTACTATTTGCATAGCCTACAAAGAAAATCAAACTGGGCAATCACTAGAACTTCAAACAGCTTTTCTTTAATTGAAGTACTACATTACCCCTCCACCCTCCCATAAAACTTGTTCCCAATAACTAAAATTTATTTTCTTGTAGGACAACTTTTAACCTTCTGCCTGGCTACTCGAATAACTCCTATTTTCTGTAATTATGGCCTTGAGAATTTCATTCCATTTTCAAACACTGTCCTTTTGCATAACTTTGTGGATCTACTGGATGCTGCAAATACTGTACATTGCTATGTACAAGTGTAATTTTTTGGCTTCTTTTTGTCCTGGTTCCATAAACACAGTGGTTTAAGAGCAAAAAAATCAATATACAATATTACTGAATAATATTATTCAATATTACCTTTTTATGCAAAGGCAAATGATAGGCCCATGAACCAGCCTTTAGTTTCAAGAACAACGCAGATACCAGAGGGCTGTTGAAACAACAGGTTTTATCAAACAGGCTTCTTTTGAGAGAAGAGCACTCAAACACAGACGAGTTTTAGCTAGATCTTCTGTGGAATATTCTCCTCTTCAATACGATAAAACTTGGGCGCAGCCAAAGAAAATCCTTCTCAAAGCTTATCACTGTCATTTTCACAGTATGTTCAATGTGCTTTCCAACACTTTAGTACGACATCATTTAACTGATGTATAGATCTTAGTCTCATAGTCTCACTTAACACTTTATTTAGAAATTGACCAATAAACTAGCAATATTCCATGTTTATGACTTGGTTTGCAGATTGACTGATGTAAATTGATAAATTTATAAATTGACTGATGATTATCAGAGATTTACCAAATTATCCAGAAAAAAAAAAGTAACAAGCAGAAGAGGTGTGGCAAAGAGATTTCCTACATGTATCTAGAGCACACAGCAAAAAGGCAGAGGGACAACAGGTCACAGAGATTGATCACTAAATTATAAAGCTGCCTAGGCCTACAAAACTTCTGTCAGTATCACAGTCAATCTCTTGTCTCATCACAACACGAGACTTCACCAAAAACTCTGTATTTCAACTTTTATTTCTAAAACAAAATCTACGAAGATGTCGGATTTTTTTTGTATGTGCAAAGCTGTAAGAAATCTAAGGTGTGGCAACTTCACTGTCAAAACAAGCTCATTAAAGATGGTTGCTGCCAAACGACATTAAAAAAATCCCACTAAGGAAAAAAGAAAAATGATAAATAATATTTCGGTAGGCAGCTTTACCAGAAAAAAGTCAATTTTGTTTTCAAGAGCATCATATTATTTGCCATGCTTGTTCATAGATGTGCATTAGGTATTTTTCACTAAAAATGTATCCACTTTTTTACTGACATCATAATAGCAGACACTAAAAGCATTTTTTACACTTTTTATAAACAAGGGTAGAACAGAAGATTATTGTAATACTGTATTTTTTTCGCAAGAACATTTCAACAAAGAATTTCAAACTTAATACAGTACAACAGAGAAACCAATTCTAATAGTCTACTGTATACGTCTGATCCATTTACCTCAGGCTGAGCTGTGTGATTTAAAAAAAAAACATCAACAAAAGGGTACAAAATAAGAACAGCCCCACCAACTCTTCACTAAGGGGGAGGGCTACGTTATTGCATCAGTCATCTAGTGATAGTACAGTTTTGTTTTCTACGGCGTTATTTTATTTTTAAAAAGAGAAATATCTAGGGGAGAAAAAAAAAGTTCCTCGCACACATTCCTCCATTTGTCTCCTACTACACTGAGAATCAGCACGAGTAAATAGAGCAGGGCGAAGAACTGCATGTGTTCTTGTCACACACAACCTCTTATTGCTCCTGAAGTCCTCACACTCAAGAAGATACAGTCCACACAGGCTTTGCCCAACTATTGTGCTGTTCGGAAACTGTTGTGACATTTAAAGTACAGGGAAAAAAAAAACTCAGCTCCTGCTGAAGGAGGTGGTGAGAGAGAACAAGCTTCATTATGTGCTACGTGGGGTGGGGTGGGGGTTGTACTTTAAATCCAGAGAAATATGTTGGCCCCCAATTGTGTCTTCTTTATTATAAAGGTCCTTTCTCAGACAACAAAAAAAGGAAGAAAAAAAAACATATCTTTACAAGTTGACTCAGCAACGTTCTGGAGTACCGGTACATTACAGCACAAACATCTCGGGTTTCTCAAACAGTTGCTCGATGTTGGCTACTGAAGGCAATGTAATTTGGTCAGGCCACCGATTCCAGAATGTTCACCACTGGGAGATGCTGTCCTCCAGTCCCACAGGCTGCTGCATCTGTGAATGTTTGTGGGACAGGAATTCCAATCAGTACAGTATTGGAGGTTTGATGTACGGTCTGTTTTCTGGAATAGACAAAAAAACAATGTTAAGGTAAAATCTTAAGATTCATGAGTTAAAGGTTTTTTATCTCTCTTGGAATGGAGGCACCAACAGTTTTGTTCAATCACTGTTTTTTTAATATTTGTATGTCTTTTATGAAAATGAATAAAATGCTCATTCATTCCTGAACCGTATTTCTGAACATCTAAAAAAACCTACGGGTTTTATTTGAAAACAAACATGCAAAACTGCCACCCTGTCATATTGTTGAATTTCAAGCCTCCAGTGTTTAATGAGATACAGTGTAAGAAGAACTGATTTGCCTGATCATGCTAACAGGAATAATCAAGCATCTACAGCAAAACAAACCACAAACCATCTTTTGCTACTGAGAGAGTCTGGAACTAGAAGAAGAATAAAATAAAAAACAAAATATTAAACAAATACCATTTTCTGCTCCAGATTTACCTGCACCTTTTGCAGATTCCTTGAAAAAAAATTAAATCACTAAATCACAATAAGAACAATTATTACCCCCGTATTGTGTATTATAAAAATATGAGAAACACTTAATTTTTTTTTCCTCTCTAGACTTTTAAGACCTTCATGAACAACTGAACTGTTACTCTTTAAGCCACTTGTGTCTCTTAATAATAACAGCAGAGACATATACATTGTGAAACAGGTTTAAAAAAAGTATTGGCTGTGAAACACATTTGAAAAACCCTTGAAAACAGACAACTTTAATTGTGTCTAACCTGTGATACAACTCCACTGCTCCACCTCAAAGGCTTACTTGACTGATCGTATTTAGTTAGACTGCATGTAAAGCAAAAGGACTAAAAGTCAGCAAAATAATGCCAAGTAGTAGCAGCTATTCATTCCAACAGTATTTCTCAGTTATCAAAGAGAGGAGTATTGTGTAACTCCAAAATACAGTCAGGTGAAAAACAGTGTTTTTTTTGTCTTTGCCTCATTGTGCTCCAGCACACTACATTTAAAATGATTTCACCTTTCAACTTGTGTTTTCAATATGAAACCAAAATGGTTTAATAGAGGTCTATGCAACAGTTATCAGTAAGAATAACACTAGGAAAACATACAACCTGATCTATAACATTTACAGTGTCTGAAAGATTAACCCAGCCATGCTGTGTACTCTCTCCTTTGGTTCAGCACATGTTTGTGTGCTTGCTGCTAGTTCACCCTTCACCTATATCATTTTGCTGGTGACAGCCCTGTAGACTCCCTGCAAATGAGCAAGAAATGCAAAAATAAGCACTGAACACAGCTTTATGTCCCCAGGAGCAAGAATGACAGCAGTCCTAAATAGAACATGCTGTACTAAAATGCAGAAAAGACTAGGGTTACTGTTAAATCACTACCGAATCCAGTTTTGTAATGCACAGACAGGTGTTTCTCACGTTGAAAGACCACAACGCTTCAACACCTGCATTTATCAGATGAGAATTGTTAGTTGCACAAATCTGATTGTTCCTGTATTTGCTCTTGTGTAGAGTAGTGTCTGAATGTCATTATTGAGACTTGAGTTTGCTTTGGGCAATGCTCTGACTTCTGTTTTCAAGGTACACACCCTACAAGACATCTTTTTCAGCCCTAAAATCCATCACCCTTTGAGTTCCCCTGCTGGCATTTTAACATGACAGGACAAAAGTTAACGTTTAGATGTTATATATGACTAGTGCCTTAGACTGTTGCTGTCACACATAGCCTTTTGAGCTGCCTTGTTTTAACAAATAGTTTCACTGTTACCAAAATTAGTCCCACTTAGATGTCTGATGTATGTTTTTTTAGCACAGTATATATATATATTAGTCATTAACTTTGCCATTATGTGTGCAAATCCACATTTTCATCAAGTCTAGGAAATACATTTGTCAATATGTTGTTAAATACAGAAAAAGATAATGGACAATATTGTTTCAGTGTAATATAGCTAGAAACTTCACATTATGATTTTGATACATTATAGCACTCATACTCCCTATTTTAACAGGTTATGTAGGAGGGCACATTTTTCACTGACCATTTATAGTACCTGAGCATAACTGAGTTTGCTAGACAGCCTATGGATTTTGCTGCTATTCTAATCCAATTTGCATCGGACGTAATATGGGTGATTTATCATTTAGTATTAGCTGTCAACAAGAAAGGCTAGATAAAACAAAAACAGCTGGAAACATAAGTAAAGGGGAGCAGCAGTTGAATTTTAATCTGAACATGGTGTGTTCACTTCATTAAGGACAGGAAACAGCTAATTAGTAAGTAAGTGTTTTGTGTTTTTGATGGGTTTGTATTTGAGTTCTGAACAGATGATCTAATATGTATTCAGGATGTAAACAAGAATAGCAATCAGGGAGAGCAGAGAGCGGGAACTCTCTGGAGGAATGTTCTGGAGCCTGGGAACTGTGTGTGTGTGTGTATAATTGTGTGTGTGTCTGGGTGTCAGTGTGTGCTTCTGTGTGGGTATGCATTTGGGCATGTGCACATTTGTGTATCTGGGTATGGGAATGTGTTGGTGCACTTGTGTGATTGTGTGGATACATGCGTACAGATGTCAGTGAGAACGGGTCAGAGAGCAACGATACTCTGTACATGTGTATGTGGTGATCAATGTTCTTCGATGTGGGCAACTTTGTGCTATTAAGGAGGGGTCACTGTTTGACCAAGTTATTCCTGTAGTCCCCTATTTGCCCTTAGATGTGAGGAAGGAAACAGATCTGCTTTATTGTTGGACTACGAGATTGTGCAAAGCACTCAAAATAAAACTGCATACAATTAATCAAATGTACAACCGGGTCATGATGCCATCAGAGTTCAAACAGTTTTTGTTTCTAATAAGGGAGTACAATTGCTGCCTTCACTACAGACATGAACAGTACAGTAATTAAGCATTTAAAAATGGTCACTCACTGTTTGTTAAGCAAGGTGCTCTTTGGATTAACCAATTGAATTGGTCCTGCCGTCATTCATTAAACAGGACACAGTGTTAGCTTAGACTGGATTTAAGTCATAAGTCATTCATCACATATTAAAATATGGTATTTTTTAGTAATGTAACATATCCATTTTGCAGATCCAGATTTTGCATCAAATTAGACATGTTTACATCTAATATCATTCTTTAGTTTTGCTTTACAATATTTTTATTAGACTTAAAAAATAGATGTGGGAAGCTTTAGACTAATAAAATATTTTACAGGTTGTGCTCCTTTTTCTTAATCTACAGTATCTGGCAACTTATAATTAAAATATATAATTATATAATTACTACATAATAAAAATGATGCAATAATAAAACATACAATACTATTGTTATTTAACAGATATTATAATATATAGTCTGAGATGTTTATTATTTGTTATATAGTGGTGTATAAAACACAATAATTAAATTTACAATTATATTATTGTTATAATTACAAGTTAAAACAAGTATTATAACAGCTAAATGCAGATACAGTTTTAATATTACTGTACATCATATTACTATGGGTGACAAGAAACTAGACTTGTAAATTAGCAATCTTTAATTTACATTGATCAGGATCTTCAGACACTCAAGGTAAACTGTACAAGAACAGTCAATATGAAGTATTGTAGTAAGTAATTAATCCATATGCCATTGTTAGGTGTTTCCTCATCATTAACATAATTTTTATGATCATTTTTTCTTAGGAGACACTGTTTTTTAGGATGACTTACAATACATGGTCAGAATTTACTTTACACTTATTTCATTTTGCACATTAGGTTCCTTTCTGTAAAACAGATCCATATGGATTGTTTGATTAAAAGGAAATGGATAAAGTTTCAGCAGAAGCATGCCACTGAAAATAGAAGGAATATCACAGAATGAAAAGACAAGAACAATGTGAAACGCCCTGACTGATTTAATGGAATGACTTTTGCACTGTACAGATAGTCTCATTTGTGCTAAACCCAGTGTTAAGTGCTACAGCAGTCGTCTTCAACCAGTCATCAGCAAAGTGATCATTAAATAGAACAATAGCAAAGTATCCCATACAAGCACTGTGTGATGAATATTATATACTTTATAATCCATTGGGGTGTAAAAGAGAGCTGGTAAACTCCAACAAATGCCTAGATATAAGTTACAGTGCAGCTTTATTTGGCTTAAAACACTGACAAATTAAGGGGCTGAGAAATCTGCTTCACTCACTGCACACCCACTCAGGACAATTACACAGTAATGAAATTGACATACTTCATAATCTCTTGCTTAATCTGCTGTCCTGTATGCAGTCCCCAAAATTGTAAAGGTTCCTAACCGTTTTATCTGGGGAATACATGTTTGTAGGTCAAATAGCATACAAAATTCGGGTTTTAAAGGTTTAAAAAGGGGAATTAGCAGAAGAGAAAAGGCAGTTAGATGGAAAGGAAAAGTGGAGAGCTTTTGAATAAAATAGTTTTTTGCAATAAAAATCTTGTTTCCTTATAAGGCTGAAAGGCTGTGTTTTTGTTTTTTTAGAATGCACATGCCGAAACATAAGCTGTTGTGTAGAAATGAAAATATCATGAAATTAAATTAAAATATCATGCCTAAAAATGCTAGTTTTGTAGAAGCTTAAGAGACAAGAAAAGCAAGTTAAAAGGTGTAGAACAATCTGTAAACACTATGTTCCCACTGCTAAAGTGGCACAGCTAGGACAGCACAAGGCCGTAAAAATAGGTTTTTCCATCACTTGACTCTCCATCACGGCTACTCACTGGTCTGGCCTAGCTGGATAGGAACTACTTCAACAACAAAACAGGGAGGAGTGTGCTTGGAAAGTAAACCAACAGAGGAAAAGGTAGAAACAGGGCCAGAAAAAAAAACACTGATTGGTTATACAGAGAACTCTTAAGCCTCTAAACAGAAAGGCGAACGGACATACTAAAACTTGAATAAATTAAACAGATTCTGCAGAGGT